TAAGACAGGAGTTATAAAATTGATTTGCTCAGTTTGAATAATTGCCATAGTAAATATCTAAAATTACACTTTTATATAATTATGAATTTAATGTTTATAATTATAATTATATAATAGATTGTATTAACAGGTTGCACAGTCTGTTAATGTTCAGTTGATGCTTTATAATTACAATTGTATAATTATTATACGTGCATAATTTGGGACCACAATCTCTTTACAAAATATTGCTAGACACATTACATTACATTACATCCGTACTTCAGGTTTTAAATTCACTGAGCTGGCAGGACTTGGTAGGGCATTGCTTTAACCCTAACACTGTAAATGGGACTTTCTGACCCACCTTATCCTAGCCATTCAGTCCCAAAGAAACACACAGAAACTTATATTAATTATAAGCTGTTTGACCTATTAGCTCAGGCTTATTATAAACTAGCTCTTACAACTTAAATTAACCCATAATTCTTGTCTATGTTAGCCTTGTGCATTTGTCAGTGCAGCATTCTCATCTAGTTTTCTCTGCCTTTGGTTGGCAACTGTGTCTGGCCTCTCCTCTTTTCAGAATTCTCTTAGTATGGTTGCCCTGTCAATACTTCCTGCATGGCTACTAGCTAATCAGTATTTTATTAAATCTCTATGAGTGACAAATCTTCACAATTCACAAAAGCATTATCCTATAGTACAGCACTCTAGAGGCAGAGTTTGATGCTAGCCTGTTCTACACAGAATATTCTAGGTTAGCCAGGACAATAGAAAGAGATCCAGTCTTAAAACAAGCAAGCAAGAAAATAAACAAAGACTGTGAAATTCATTTAAAATGAAAAAGAAAAAGAAAAGGAGAGGAAAAAGAAAAGAAAACCATTTATCTAAATCACAACCATTAATTAGATTTTCACTTTACTATATTTTTCTTATTTTATTTGAGTTTTTAAGCTTCATTATAGATATGATGAGGTTTGGATTTTTAAAATTAACAAGCCCAAATGCTATGGAAACAATTACTGTAACAGAGTCCTAAAAGTCATGACTATAGATTTTACATATGAAACATTACTGAACTGAAAACACTAGAGTTGAGTACTGCAATCTCAATATTGGAAGTTTGTCTGCTAGTGTCATGACTCAGTGGATGGAGCATTGTAGTTTGGATCCTTATCCTCCACATGAAAAGTAGATAGATACATCTGTAAAACCACTCCTCTACCTACAACTCAGAGGTCTATAGTGGAAGGGTGGTCAGCATGAGTCTTTGAATCAAAGAATTGGATGTTTGCTGTGAGTTTGTGTCTCCTAGTAAAGTCAGAAAGTACACCCACAATGTGTAACCCATATGAATGGCTAAATATAAGCTGAATAAAGAAAACAACAGAAGACATGCTAAAGTGGATGGGAGAAAAGGTCACGAGGCCTCAACCCTAAACAAAAGGCTATAAGACTAAGAAATGCTGAGAGTAAAAAAAAAGTTTTCTCTGGGGAAAAGCATATCAATTGGTTATCCAACCAAAGGTGGGCATGAAAAAAATATATATACAACTAACACTATACAGACATAAGATAATGTAGTATATATATATATATATGTATATAATGTATCATATATAATACATGCACATATATAACAACAACTAATAAAAAGGGAGGTCATGGCTTTGAAAGAGAGCAAGGATGGAGACAAAGGAAATATGGCAGGGATGATATGGATGGTGAGAATGATGTAATATAAATTATAATATAATCTAAAAACTAAAATAAATAACCACAACAGAATCTAGTAGTAATGGCAACCTTCTTCAAATCCCAGTACTCTGGAGACAAGGACAGGAATTCCTATACCATGGTAGATTAGCACATTAGTCAGCTGCAGGATTAATAAGAAATTGTACTGTAGGGGGGAAAAAGTAGAGACATCACTGAACACATCCAACATAAATATCTTACCTCTACATGTGCACAAATGAACAAGCATCCACACACATGTAAGAACACACCTTTGTGAACATATACATGCAGGAACCATGTAGATCTATGCTTTCCTTCTAGTCTAATAGAGACAGGTTTTGGAAAAGTCTCTTTTCACAAAGCAAGTTCTAATTTTTACTTCTTTGTTCTTTTGTCATCTTACCTTTGTTATTGTCAGTTTAGATAAGAAAATATAAATCTTGGATATTTCAAGTAGTGAGAACATTAGTACATAAATATGTTGGGTAGCATGAAGGAAAACTTACATGCCTCAGAAAAGGGAGTATAGGGAACTCTGGGGTCTGTTGTTTAACTAACTGACCCTCTGTGTCTTCTCTGTGTAATAAACATTCATCTACCCATGTGTTCTTAAAAATTGAAACTGAGTTTTCCTGTTTCACTATCTGGTATTAGGGGGAAAATCCTTCAATTTCACATCAAGTGTCCTTCATGGCAACATTTTTATCAGAAATCTAAGAATGAAGAGCTCTGTGAAATATCATTTATCAGAGACTAGTTTCTAAAATATTGGCAAGTATGAAAAATTTAGGAATGACACTAAATCATGCCCCTTAAATTGCTCACTCAAATTATAGAGAGTATGTACTTTCTGGGTGTATATACATGACACTGTATCTATAGCGTCAGGCACCAATTCCTTAAGGCTGTTTAAAATTGATATTATCTGTCTATCCGTCTTTCTGTCTGTCTGTCTGTCTAATCTCCTAACATTACAGTGGCCGTCAGTCTTTTATTCTCTTCTCTCAGTCATCAATGATTGTATGAAAATCTTTTATTGTTGCTATCATATGACATAAAATTAAAGTGAAATGCATAAAAGAACTCCTCGTTTCATCTGAAATAGGTTCATATGAACTCCTTGATGAATTCCCAGCTGAAAGGAAATGATTTTATTTCTTTGTCCAAACATAATTGAGATGCTTTGTTGACTAGAGTCATCAGATTGAAATAGGTCCACTAGACAAGAGTATCTCAACTAATGATCTTTGACATTGTGTTTACTATTGATAAAATCTATAAATTAATAGTACACTGCCGTATGTCAATTGAACATAATGAAAACAAATTGCTCACCCTTCAGACTTTAGAGGGTTTTTTTGAGATCTAGTCACTATAAGAAATAAAAATAATTATTAATTGAAATAATATTTGATTACCATTTTGAAAAGTGCCTCATAAATCTTCAATTATTTTTGAAATGACTGTCATTACTGAATATTAAGTGATCTTTTTTTACCATATACCAAAGACAGGACTATTTTCATGTCATTAGTTCATTGGGTTTAAAACAATTCTATAATCTAAGTATCATTTGTATTTATATTTTCTAGGTAAAAAAAGTCAAGCTTGGAGAGTTCAAGTTACTCACTCAGAAGTTCACAAGACACTGGAGTCATTATACTGTAACAGTTCCTTTTGTAATCCATGTATTTAATCCTTATCCTAGATCTTAAAGATACTTCTTTACCCAATAGTAGCAAAAGTAGTGTGTGTTATGGCTATTTGTGTTTGTCAACTTGATTACATCTGGGATTAACTAAAACCCATGATTATGGTAAAATTTTGAGGGAATGTTTTCTTAATTAAACTAATTAAAAAGACTTACTAATTTAAAAGATTCTGTTATGAATCTCTGGGGTGGGAAAAATCCATCTTTAATCTGAGCCACTCATATATAAAGGAATGGAAGAAGGAAGAGCCCTCACTATGTTGCTCTCACTATAACTGGCAAGTCTATTATTTCACTGACATTGCAGTGTACTTCTTCAGGATTCTGATGCATATTGCTAATGGATTCATGGGCTGGAAAACTACTGGCTTCTTGGACCTCCTGTTGGTAGACAGTCGTTGTTGGACTAGTTGGTCCTCTCCTTTAAGCCACTGTAATAAGTTATATGTGTATGCGTGTGTGTGTATAATATGTGATATATGCGTGTATGTGTGTGTTCTATCAGTTCTTCTCCTATAGAGAACCTTGACTAATGCAGGTGCTCTTAGCTAAAATCTCTAAACAATCAAAAAACCAATCAAATTTTTCACAGATGAAATGGTACAGGGTAAATACATCATTCAGAAACGCGGGAATGGGACATAGAATGGAGAAATGGGAAAAGAAGCAAGACCAAAATTGAGCAGGACTTATAGTTCTTGTGGTAATTTTCTAGCATGCCAGTCTCAGGGTAAACCCCAAAGTGCTTGGGTAGTTTGGCCCCCAAAATTTCATTGGGTGTTGCCCAAAAGGCCTATTTTATGGTCTAGCTTTGTTGATTGCCTGCGCCCTTTCTCAGCAGGTATTCAATATTTCTTGAAGGACTAAATTCCTTCTGTCTGCACTGTCTTTAGCGCTAACTCACAGCTTCAGTGATCATCCCTCAAATATTCCCTCCCCCTGTTGTAGGGCTTTCCATTTTTCACTGTGGAATAAGCATGGGAACGTCCTTAAATCTGTATTTTATCCATTCTGTGTCTCAAGTAAATCAACAACATACAAATTACATCAAAATCTACTGCCTGCTTCTGCAGTAATGAAGCCCTTGGACCAGAGATACAGTGTGTTCTGGATCCCTGTATTTGGGCACGAATAGCTCCCTGTCTAGAGTACTTTTGTCAGAAGAGTGCCCTATCAGAGCTGTCATCTCTTGATAAGGCTTTTCAAATATGTTTACACAGGATAAATCTAAAGTTTATGGTGGGTGACCTGTTGGCAAATTTCTGAAAGTCTCTCTAAACAAATTTTCTAGACTCCTTATTAGTATTACCATTATGAGCAAAATGTTTCATGTGATCATTTTTAATTGAAAACACAGTTCTTCTACTCTTCTGGAGGAGCATGACAATTTTCACTATTACTGCGGCCAAGAATATTTATAAATATTAAATCAACAGTTGGTATGCTGTACTACACTGAATTTTCTACCTTCAGATTACTGCATGTATCATCTTAGAATCTCAAGTTATAAAAAAAATTTCCAAAAGTTTTTTAACATGCATAGTTTCTTATCCACTTTTTTATTTTTAAGGGGAGAGCATGAACACAGCCCCTCACTACTACAAATTGTACAGTCGAATTTCCTACATTTGGGGAAATCACAGGGGCCAGCATATCCAGAGTGCAATGGATAAGCTTCACTCTAGGAAAATTATCTTTATAGTAATCATATCTTCCCTGACAGGAAAGTATTTCTCATTCATTCATAACAGTTCTAAATTTTACTGGAAATTTCATAAGCACAGTTTTACTAACCACATTCGTGTTGGCATGGTGGTTTCCCCATGATTCCATGAAAATCTCTCATGAAGCGCTGCTTGATGTTCTAGGGCTTCTCAGATCCATACCTCCATGCCACTCCATCTACTTCTTCCAAAGCCCTTCCAAAAGTTTCTGAAGTATATTGTCAGGAAGAGTCAGAGCAATGACCCCCGCTTCTCAATGACAATTTCATGTTTTGTTTTCGTTTTTGCTATTGTGACTAATTACCTGGTATAAATAACATCAAGCAGCAAAGGTTCTTTGGCCCAGAGTTTCATCCCATGATTGACCTACTTCTTTGTCTTAGGCCCATAGAAAGGCCTAAGATGGTGGGAATGGGAGTGGATGTGAAAGAAGGAAACACACATAGCAATGGCTCGGAAGTACAGAGTGGGAATGGAAGAGGTGATGACGAAACATTCAGTTCAAAGCATGTACCCAGATTGCCTCCAAGTTCTTACACCTCCTCCACATACCATCAAATTAAGAACCTATCAATAGATTAATTCACAAGTTATACTCGGGCTCAGATAATCCAAATAGCTTTCAATGTTCAGTCTAGCTTCTGGAGACAACAACTGCAGTCAAAAGACTTTGGAAGAAGCTTTACAAAGAATCATGCTGTGTGAGAATTGTACACTCTGTGAAGATGTGTTACTGTGACTAGTTTAATAAAGAGATGAATGGCCAAGAGATAGGTAGGAAGAGTATAGAGACAGAGAGGAATCTGGGAAGAAGAAAGACAGATTTGCCAGCCAGACAAAAAGAGGAAAGAGGTTAAAGACAAAAAATAGATAACACAAACAAGATATAATGTAGATTAATATAAATGAGTTAATTTAATCTGGAAGAGCTAGTTGAGACAAGCCTAAAGTAAAGGCTTAGCTTTCATAAGTGATAAGTCTCCGTGTTGTTACTTGGGAGCTAGTAGTACAGAGAAAGACTTGTTACACAATCATAAGAAAGAGTCCATGCATGTTAATTAAAAAATCATAGTTTATCAATTCAAAATTTAAAAAATATACATATATTTTAAGAAAACCTTTAACAAAACAAGATTTATGTATAATTTCCTTGCTGAAAACATTGATCAATTATATCTATTACAATTTTGGGGGTTCATTTATTTTTGTGAGAAAGTAGACAATTATATGGTTTTGGAGTCTCTCTTTGGACATTCAGTAGAATTTTGATGACAAAAGCATTTCTGTATGTGGTGAAGTTTTGTGGCTGTGATCAGCCTATAAATCACAGAACAACTCTGACCTGATTGTTAATTTTTCATACTAATTAACTTGTACTTTACGGGGGCTGAATTTGGCTGATAGATACTGAGTGATACCCTAGCTACAACTCTGTGAATCATGAAGAGATATCTACTCCCTCCCAAATGATCCACCATTCCATTTCTCAGATAAAAATGCAATCATACTTTAGAACACAATGAGGCACATTGGGCTACTTCAAATGTTGGAGGATTTTTATAGGCACAAATACTTAAATTTTCCATGGCCTTCTGAAAAACAACTGGTCTGCTTGCTAATGCTGACTGCATAGCTACAGAAAGTGTCAGGATTTTAAAGGCCTTAGAACAATTTTCCTAGCTCCAGGAAAGCATCCTACCCTATTGGTGGGAGCCAGAGTGCATAAGGACATGGACACCACGCAAAGCCTGCCAATAGCATGGACTGTGAACTACTGTAGGGATGGGCTTTGTTTGAGCCTGATATTGATGGATACATTGAATAGAGATCAAGTAAAACCAACCCTACACAGCTATGGCTGTTACCACTGAGTGCACGCATACAACAAAAATCAAACACATAAATAGAGTATTATAAGATAAAATAACTGTGACAAAAGTTGTTCATTAAAGCAAAACATAAAATCATATAGTATTAAGTTGGTAAAACTATAAATAAACTCAGAATAACTATGACTAAGTAAAGAAATTTACAAAGTTATTGTAAAAGAGCTGTCCTCGCAAATAATTCTCTTGAAAGGCATCACAAGCTCCACGCTCACCCTAACTGCAGCCATGCTGGTAGGGGAGAGAAAGGCCCACTGATGGGCTTCATGAAAGAGCCCCAAAGCGACTGCTGAGTTGCTGGGAGGAGATGACTGGCTCAATGAGTCCCACGGAGTTCTTTCCTTCAGTCCAGAAAATGTCCTCTCTCACCACACCTGCAGAAGCAGGTGCAGACAGGTTATAAAAGGCAACTTGATTCGTTTCCTGCCAGATCAAAGTACGCTGTGGATTGGAAAAACAGAAAAATGTCTGGAAAATAGAAGACTTAACGGAAGGCGACCTTTGGGGACAATAACAACAGATGTGCTGAAAATTCATGAACCTTTCACTATAAATGTTCTCTTGTTCATCCGTTACATAAAGAATTATGCCAGGCCAGCCTCCATGTCACAGTTCTTCCTTAGAACAACTGGCCAAGACTGGAAGTCTCAGCAAAATAAGATACAGGATATGTGTTGCTAGACTTATGTTCAGTTTATAAATCCACAGGAGAGCACAGGCACCCTATAAACTGATGTATTTAAACAAAGAGTCTTTTATGTATGTCATCTTTACACAGGACATACATACGCCAACACAATTTCAGAGTGGTGAAATTCGTTCTTGGTGGTTCACCGACTCTATTCTTTTATCAGCTAATCTATTCAATGAGCAATAATTTTCACAGGTCCTGAGAAGGGAAATTGTAACATTTGCTTGCATCACAGACCAGAATGTTCTTACAGCTTCTCTAAATGACCACACAAATTAGATTATACTTTATATCTAGAGCTGCATATAAACAAACCATAGTGCAAAAAGCCCTGAAGTATTCCGCGAACTACTACCTCTTCTCCATCAATACACATAAAGCCTAAATATGAAATCTACAATTAACAGTATTATCAAATGAATGTGACTGTTTAATATTCACCAGCTGCTGCATGCATACTTAGTATATGGAATCTAAGGTACAGGAGGTCTAAAACATAAATTTCCAAACACACTCATAAGTGGAAAATAATGGATTTAAAGAAACTGCTGCTTTCTTCAAATAAAACTCTATAATTGACCATGAGGGACTTTTGAACATTATACAGACTTCAATAATTATAATTCAATTTTACCAGAAAGCTAATGCATTGAGCAAAATAACACTATATAAAATAATTTTTATGAAATGTTAACCCAAATGAAGACGGGAAAATTTTGAGTTTTTGGTAAATCAGGCTCTAGTTTGGCAGGGCTTATAGTCAACAATTGCCATTTTGCTTTGATTTTTTTCCTATCTATGTTGATTATTGTTTTGAGAAGTAGGAAAATTGTGTTATTAATATTATACTTCAAATTAACAAAGAAAAAAGGAATGAAACAAAATCAAAAGTCACTTCACTGCTTCTGTACCTTAGTGCACTGAACTAATTTCAGTTGGCTGTTAATGGTTTTTCTCATCAAAGTCATTGATTGCAGGTTTTGGTTGTTTTGACTTGTAAACATTTGATATCCCAGCTAAGGAACAGACAGATTGTGAAGTGGAAATAGTTAGATGCCATCAAAGAAACTCTTGGTGATATTAACAATAACTTATGCTATAGAAAAATGATTGAATTTCCTCCTGTCTAACACCAAAGCAAATCTTGCCACAATGCTTGCAGTGAAAACGATTCACTTCAGGGTTTAATTGTAACATTTTTATGGTTTTACAAGATTCTTGTAAATGAATATGTAGTCAAAAACTGACTTTCTGAACTTAGTGAAAATTTTAAGTATTTGTAACTAATGCTCTTTAAAAGACTTACCTCCATCTTGGAAAGATGTGTGCCACACCTGGTCAGCTTTGATATTCACGACCATTAAAAACTAAGTTAACTTTTATTCAGTTATTTCCCAGGATCAAAGTTATATCATTTGCTTCTGTGTGATTTTTCTGTCTATAATGCTAGTACATTCTCAATTTGGTAAAATGCGCGTTGGAATAGATTTAATGATTGTTTAATGGTTCTTGCATTTACCTAAATAATATTTCAGGAATTTTTGTGGTCACTTGGTTGTGTGGACGGGAAAGAAGACATGTGTGGACATTTTTGTCATTTTATGATGCCATTATTTAACCATTTGATAGGGTTTCATGTTATGTCCAAAGTCCAGATTCCCAAAACATTGCCATGAGACATATCCTATGCAAAAACAAAGAGTCTTTAATAAGAGTTAATTTATGTCCCTTTGTCCTCCAAAGCAGCAACAGCAGCAATGACAGCAGAAACAGCAGCATCAGAAACCACAGGGGAAATACCTCTAGCAGTGTGCAAAAGTGGGTAGGTGAATTCCAGACTTCCAGGCTTGGGATTGGCTGCCCCCTATGATGTAATGAGATTTTCAAGCCTGAGGAGACTTTTCTCCAGCTCTAGGTTTGGGGACAACTGCCTCTTCTCGTGGCTCTAGTCCCATTTTCAGAGTGTGCTTCTTTCTCTGGCTCTGAATCCAGAGCCAGGCTGCTCGGGGGATTGTGCTAGGGTTATGGACTCACCGAAATTGTGGTGACCTGCGCTTCTCATTTCCAGATTAATATATATTATTTTAAAGAAGAATGTCAGAAAGGTATATTTATCTTTCTTAGAAGAAAGTTGTATTTCCCCATTGGAAGGATTTCTACATTCTAGAAATCAGAGAGTTGTGCAGCTCTGAAGGTAAACATCATTTAAGTCAACAAACAGCCTGAAGCTAAGCACAGAAGGCATAGAGGCAGAGACAGGGCTAAACTTTACCTTCTAAGAAAGCATTTGGCTGATTAGATATAGTGCTTTGCTATACTTTTAAAAACAATTTTTCACTGTGTTGACTTTTAAAGTATTATGATTGATAATATCTGATTATACATGTCAATGAGTATGGCATATGGCATGAGACTTGTAAGAACTATGCT